GATCGAACCAACAACCTTCCAATTAGGGGACGACCCGCCTCTGAGCCACAGCCGGAATGTTCAGGTGTCCACATACTTTGTGTCTATGTAGTTTTATACATTATGTCATGTAAAATGGAGATGTTTTAAATCTACTTTAATACTGTAAGAGGTCCAATAAATATTAGATGGTGTTGCTTTCGTTCATTCAGCCTTTCTTGCTTCACAGTTTCTAGTAATGGCCACACATTACAAGAGAATGGTGTTTGGGCAGAGTTTTTAACAGTGAGCATAATAATAGGAAGAGTATGCGTCTTTGTCATATTCGGGTTTTCTGTCCTGGCCTCTCCCTGCAGCAGCTCTGACAAAAACACTCATCACCCGGCACAGTGGCCCCCAGCAAGCAAACACAATACAACAAACGAGCATTTGTGTGTGTGGTGGATATGGCCCTGCACATACACAACAATACAGACAAATAAGGCTGCTTCCTGCATATTTATGATTTATACCCCACAGTTCTCACTTTTCAACATTTCAGAAATTAAATATTAATGTTTCTCGAAGATTCTTAAATTGAGCACTCAGAAGTTAAAAACAGAACTGTGTGTTAATGCTGCATGCATGGCTTCCCTTTTTTAATGTGTGAACATATTAATGGAAAATAAACAGAAAAACTTATTCAAAGCATTTAAGCACAACAGTGCTTGCAGCTGTTGTTTAACTCTGCTTGCATTTATCTGTTGTTCAGGAGTACTTGGTTTTCTCCAAATGTTTAATCAGTGCACATGGGGCATCATTGTTAAAGACATTCAGTCATTTGGTTAAGACGACCCCTGCTATGTTCACCAGCTAGTCTCTAAAGTGTGTGTCTGCTGTTTGGTAATGGACAGGTAGTGTACAGAATATGTGTCTTTATAGCCAGAATACGCAAAAATGATTTCAGTTTAATATTTCTATTGTGTGCATAATTGCATGCTTACTGCAGGATGTTTTTTGAACTCACCATAGCCAGCTGTACTGGTTTAGTGCCATTGTTGTAAAAATGTCCTGGCCATGTCTGCCATTTGCTCTTCTGTTTTTATCTCTCTCTGTGTGTGTGTGAGTGAGGAGTAAATTCAGTGATTCTTACCTGACAGCTTCTTGGAAACAGGCGCTTGTCTTTTTAAGTCAGTTGTCACACTTCTTGTTTCTGCCAACTAGCACAGACTGCTAATCAATCCGACCTTTAAAGAAAACAAAATATAAACCCACAAAGTACACAGTCTATATCGATGAGCCCATTACCCTTTTTTTTTCTCTGTATGGCCTTAGAACTGGGCAGGTTTTTTGATGAAACAGCTTTGAGAGACAAGTTGGTCTTCAAACAAAACAACTTCTTGTCTGAAGGCTAGTTTGGAGGCACACAAATCAGTTGTGCTCTGCAATGTATGTTGCATGACCCCAGTTATTAGATGCCTGCACTGCCAAGTCGGTACATCAACTTGACACAGCTCAGCTCCTCACTTGTCTTGTTAGCACTGTTTTTGTCTACATTTATTGAGCAGCAGTGGCCTCTCCAGGATAACTGTTCTGTCACTGGGTAAAAACAGAAACTCCATTACAATAATTAATGTATAGGTAATATAACTCTCAGGATAAAGCTCACCTAGTCATTTTACCAGTTGAAATACTTCTAAAGGGCCAATACAAGCCATGAAATCTACTTTCATACTTGCCACAAAGTAATTAGAGCTCTGATCTTGACACTAAAAGGTATTTTCTTCCCCAAAATTAATTTCATTAGGAACATTTAGTTACATTTTAATGATTACAGACAAGTTGTGTTCATACCCTGAACCAATCTCACTCCTCATGCCTAAACCTAACCAACCCAAACCCAGACCTTTCAAACTGTACGATTTATCACTTTAAACTACGCAAAAAGCTTGTGATCCCTTTGAGTTCAGTAATGCACAAGCAGTACTCAAGTCCAACAGCATGTCCAGTGTAGTTTCAGCGTGACAAAATAGCTATCCAATTAAAGCTGAGTATGTAAATGACATGCTCAGACACGTCTGCAAGCTTCAGGTTCGTAAGACATGAGAGAACATTAGCTATTTTGAGTCTACATGCGTGAACATGGGTCATTCTACAACACTACTGCTAAGTCTACTGCTTGTATGTCCTTGGCTTGTAAGCTACAGTTAATAGCACAATAGCACGTGTCGTCAGCTGTCAATTGATCACACACACTGGTCTGCCCACTTTGAGGCTAACAGATAATGTCTGATTTCTCCAAATCTCCAAAGACATTGTTGTTCCTTTACATTATAGAGAATATTAACAATACATTTAAAAATTCCTTTGAATTCTGGTGTAAATGTGTGTAATGAGTGCTAAAATATAATGCCTGCTCAGCAAAGTTCTTGTTGCAATGCAAAATATTCTCATCTTATCTTCATTTGCTTGTCCGGGATCGGGTTGCAGGGGTAGTGGACCCCAAACTTCTCTTTCCCTGGCCACATCATATTTTCCCCATATTTGGTGAGACCATCTTGTTTCTGGCTTCAAATTTCAAGCCCCTATTTTGACAGGATTTAGTTCTGTATGGTTGGTAGCATGATTTTAATATTGCATATTCAATGATTCAAATCCCATCCAGAGCACACGTGTGTGTGTGTGTGTGTGATTTCCCACCCCCTCTCCCCAGTATTAATTACAGCCCCAAATACCTGCTGGTTTTTGGCACACTTGCCGGTCCTCTGAGAATTTATTCCATCTGGATAATACCCTATGTTTCTAAATGTATTCAGAAGTTTTGCATATGAAAAGCTGCAGTTCAAAGACTTTTTGTCATATGTAAA